TATTTAGCCATTGGTTTTCCAAATTAATTTATATTTATTTCATTTTCAATAATAAAACTCCAAAAATTATTGGAAGTTTCTGGAAAATTTTAGAATTGTCTCGAAATTTCTATCACAATTAGATATTTAAACAGTGAGAAAATATTATAGCGCAGGCGCAAAGATCGGCTCGAGAATAGTTGAGAAATTTCTCGAAGAGCAATATTTAGCCTATAAAAGAATGAAAATTTTGTAGCTTTCGAGGTAAATTTCTAAGTAAATTGTCGCTAATATGTCAATTTGCGTCGCGAGTTGTCCGCATCGTCGCTATTGTGTCGTTCCATTTGAACGAAGTCTCTATCGCGTGTTTGATAAGGCTTTTGACGATTTTTTCAACGGTGGTAAATTCAGTCGTTCGATTGCTCCGTATTGGTTTAATCAGCCTTTGTCGCAACAATGTAATATTGGTAATTCCATTGGTAAAGTAAGTAACTTTCAATTTTCTGATTTTTAAATTTAATTAAATTTATTTTTATTAATTATTGCCGTAATTTGAGCTCTTTTAGATAATCAACGATGAAGAGAAGTTTTCGGTTGAAATCGATGCGTCGCAATTCCATCCAAGCGAACTCTCCGTGAATATTCGTGAGAAAGAATTAATCGTTGAAGGGAAACATGAAGAAAGGAACGACGAAAATGGTACCATTCAACGTCATTTTATTCGCAAATATGAAATTCCAAGCGATGTGCAAATGGATACAATTGAATCAAATTTATCCGACAAAGGAGTATTGAGTATCAACGCCAGGAAGGTACCATCGGACAATGTACCAGTTCGCCGAATTCCAATTAAATCTTCGCCTCCATCAAATGACAATCAAAAATCAGATAAGCAATAAGTAAAATAATTTCATTGTATTGTGTAATTATACAATTTGTATTGTTTCTTATTCTTTTAAGATCTTTCTTAAGATTTTTTAAAATGCTTTATTTGAATAAAATTTCTTAAGAGAAGTTTTTGTTCGGCAACTTAAAAATTATTTGCAACCAGGTTACAAGAGTTTTCCTATTGATTTTTAATCATCAATAAAGAATGGCCATATTGCAATAAGTAGAGAAATATTATCAGAAATATTTTGAAAAAATTATTGCACGGCAATATTTCCCTCTCAGGAAGACGTAATCGCCGATTTACTCAAAAAAATGAAAGCTGACGACAAACATTGGCATTGAAATATTAATATACATAAAATTGTTTTAAATTACACTTTCCTTGTTCCAACAAAATTTAGTAAATTATTGTTAATTATAATTTTAAGCAACAAAATACCAGTTATATTGAAGCCCATTAGCACTGTATTACCAATATTCTTTGGAACTAATGAGGCTAGAAATATCCAATAACAAAAAATTTCAAAAAAAGCGTGTAGGACAAAGCAAATTTTCATCGAAGTACTGATGAATAAATGTTGGTAACGACCGATTATACAACAACTCATTCAACAAAGCCACAGAAGGTACCATTAAAATTAACAAAACCAAAGAAGGAAAAATACTACAAAAAACTCAATAAAGCGATTATTACCCTCAAGCTTCTTTTGATATTAACGTCTACCAATAATTTTATAAAAGAGAAAATTTACAAACAGCAAAATTATCAAAAGAAAACTACAAGCAAAACGATGAAACCAACCTACACTAGAAGACACATACTTAACCATAAAATTGAAATTAAAACCATGAAAAAAAGATTCCAACAATTCTAAACCGCAAGATTGAAAATCAAACATACTAAACTATATTAAGAAGTCAGAAGGATCAAACCAGAACAAAAACAATGAACCGTACTAACCATTTTATACTAAAATCCTTAACGAATAAACCAAACAATTATGAATCGTCAAGATTTTACTTTTATCCTAATTCGCTAAAAAACCTTTCTATCTGCAAAATATAATTTTCAAAGCACGAGAATCCAAATCCATACCAACAGCACATATATATGATGAGCTCAAACTATACAACCAATTAAAATAAATAACTATCTAAAAAACCAAAACAAATGCTGATAAGTTAAACGATTATCACCACTACTAGAATCAAAAAAAGAAGTATTAAAATTACAATTCAGCAACTTAGTTAATAGCCTTGGCCAAAATAGGAAAAATCAAAACTAAGAGAAAAACAGTCCAAAGAAATAAAGACAAATGCTCCAAAGAAATAGAAATAGCCCTATGCATTTTAATAGTAGCCATATTCAGATTTTTAATGGTAACCATAAATATCACAAAATAGAACTCACTCCAGAAAAATGCCAACTAAAAATAGCCAAATCAACCCTATTAACAGGGTGACCACTAGCACTTAAAGGAGGATAGACCGTCCAACTAGTACCACAAGAACTACCTACCATATAAGCAGATAAAACCCTCTTATTATAATAATTCAATTAATAAATTATATTTACCATTGTTCCGTACTATAAAAGGTTAATTGATGTGTTGACATACTTATTTATAATAATAAGTAGACGTACTAATACGAATACCCATCCGATGGTTATTCCTATAATCGGGATCATAAAGAGGTGCACTCACCGACTTTTCCGTGTCTCCGTGGCACACTATTCGTCGATCCCGATTCATCCTGTCCTTTATGTATTCATAGAACTATGTCATTTGACATACTTATAGAGGATATACCTGGTCCCCCTTTTTTAACGCATAACAACCGAAAAAAACAATAGCCAGAAAATCAAAAGCAAAATACAAGAGATCGTTCCCCATCTGAGACATCTGATACTGTTTTAGCCCCCCCACCTAAGTTCCAAACAACTAATACAACGACCAACTTAAGAACTTAAAATTGAAGAATATCGCTTCAAGACTAAATATATTGAGAAAACAAACTTAAAAGCATAAAATTAACCACGGATTTTTCTTCCTTCCTAATTTTCGAGCGTTACGACGATTTGTGATGATCAGAAATATAAAAAGCTAATGATAAGTCGAAAGCGAAGAAATGGCGATATCAAGCGAAACTCAGAGAATATTTTTGGTAAACTGTGTGCAAAAAAAAACAACTGCTAATCCTGGAATAGCCAAATTTATAATTTTAAATAAATTAAAAGATTAAATTAATAGAAGTTTGACTGTTGCGAAATATTTCAACATTAGTAAAGGCAACAAATAAATCCCCTCAAAATGTTCATTTACCTGGCATATATCCAATAATAAAAGATGGAATCAACTCGGGTGTAAATACTTTATGAAAAGGCTGCAAATTTACAAAAGAGGTAGTTAGTAGTATCGGAATAAGAAAGAGCCTAAACGCTAAGAATTGTTGAAGTAATGTTTGGCCAAAAATAATATATAGAAAATATAATAATATTTAGAAAAGGAAATTATTAGAATGGTTTTGAATTTCTCTTAAATTTTGTTATCAATAAACACAGTTATTGTTTCTCTTCTTTTATTGTTGTGAATTAATGGTGATTTGTTAGAATGATAAGTTTGGCGGTGTTTTTTTGTAATTGGAACTTTTACTAAAAGAACTCAATTTTCTTTTAGTAGTTGGTTGTCCGGGCTATGAGTTCCTACTCCTGTTAGTGCATTGCTTCGTTGGTACTCTTATGACTGCTGGATTATTTTTAATCATTTTTTTGTGAATTGTTATCTTTAGACTTTGTTTTGGATTTGGTATTTTTTGTTGATCTTTTGCTTTCTTATGCTTTCTTCTGGTTTTGTGGTTTAAGAAATAGTCCAAATAGTACCACAAGAACTATTTATTAAGCAAGCAGACAAAACTGATAACTGATAAATTGGCTTAAACTTCAAACTTCAAAAACAAAAAAATCACCTTTACGATTAACGCAATTAGATCAAAAAATTAAACCAGTATACCCGATTATTCTGGAACCGACCTTATGCAATTATAAAACAACCAGGTAATAATACTAATACTAGATTTTTTAAGCAAATTTTTCTTCTGCGCAAATTTACGTTTCATATTTCTAAATTTGGATATGTTCTCGGGTATTTATTTTAAACTGAATCTTCATAATATATTTTTCATTAAATGTACATTAAATTGAAATTCATATCAATCAAACATTACATTGCTTATAATAACCAATAATCTAAATATAAATATTATTAATTTAAAATATCTCAAGAAAAAATATCCCCACCCCCCAAACCAGTAGACGTAGACATTAAACAACGAAGGATCAATTACCCTCTCTGTTATAAATAAAATATTCTAAAAAACGACTCATCGATTAAAAACCTTTAAGAGCCAAACCTAATATTCAAAAAACTCGAGGCTGTGGAAAAATATTCATAAATTTAAACTATTCTTGCCGCTTCATCTGCTGCCACAAACTGCAAAAAGAATCTGCTTATCATCAGATTCTCTAATCAGAATATCAAGATTAATTTTAACAATAAGCTTATTAAAATCTGCACATTCATATAATATTCTGTATTCTTCTGTATTCTTTCCTCGGATAATTAGTATTTATTATTTTGTATTAATTTATATAGGTTTATCTTAAATAGGCAAAAATTAGATTTTAAATAAAATAAATTAGATAAAAAATTAAAAAGAAAAAACACAAGAAAAAATGTATTCATTATGATATAATATTCTAATTATATATCCATTATATATCCGAAATTATATATCCATTTAATTGAGTAATATAAATAATACTACTGGTGAAATGAGTTAAGAATTAAATAAAAATCAAAACTAGCAACCCACCTTAAACATCAATGAAATCAAGAAAATATATTTTCAAAATATATTATATTGTATAAAAGATGTTTAAATATTATAATATTAAATCATAATGAATACATTTTTTCTTGTGTTTTTTCTTTTTAATTTAACATAATTTTTAGAAATTTCAAAGTAGGAAATGAAGAAATTGCACCATGTTAAAGGCAATGACATTCCCCAGCGTATTAAAAGTGAAAAAACTACCTAACTTTAGGAATAGGTTAGTCAATATGGTGCAGTAAAGCTTTTAACATTAAAAAAATAATCGAAACATTATTAATGAAATGTCGCTCAAATGTACGACAAAATAGCGATGGCGCGAATACAAATCGACATTTCAGCGAGAAAAACATATGGAACTTTTATAAAGTTTAATGCGTTTCTTTCAATTCTCTTGGACTGGAATTTCAAAATAATTCGAAAAAAGATTATAAAAATGATGAAAAGAAAAATATGGCATTTTTTTATATTGTTTATAGCTATTGTAATTATACACAAATTATTTATTTTCTATTTAAACAGAAAAATGTAAAATAAATTAATTGTATTTCCACAAAATTCACTAAAATAATTCAATAAAACTATTAATCAAAAGAAGCTGTAAATAATGTAATAATAATAATAATAATAATAATAATAATAATAATAATAATAATAATAATAATAATAAATTTTATTATAAATAAAATTTACTATAAATAATATAAATAAACTCAGAATAATTAAAGTCGATGGAAACAGAATAATTAAAGTCGATTAATTAAAATAAAAATAAAAAATAGAAAAATTTAAATAAATCCCCTCCCCCTCCTACTGTAAAACAAGACGCCAGCAAGTACTATTACAAAAGCGTGAATTATAGCCAACTTTAAATTGAAGAATATCGCTTCAAGAGTATATTTATTGAAAAAGAAGCTTTAAAAGCAGAAAATTATCTGCGGATTCTTTTTCCTTTAATTTGTGAGCGAAAAAAAGGTATAAAAAATTATCGATAAGGCGAGAGCGAAGAATTTGGAAAATCAATTTTGCGAAGAGAATTTTTTTAGTAAAGTGATCTCAAGAAATCAAGTGGTATTCTTGGAAAAGCCGCCGAAATTTATAGTTTTATAATAAAATTTCTAAATTTACTGATTAAATTTATAAAAGCTTGCGTGTTGCAAAATATTTCAATAAATACAACAAATAAATTTCCTCAAATTGTACATTTACATGGCACACATATCGAAATAAATAATGCAATCAACTTGGTTGCAAATACTATAAAAAAAGGCTGCAAAATATCTGGAAAAATGAAAAATTTGGAAGCTAAAATTTTTACCCAAATGAAAATTATCCACGAGCTTTCTTTCCTTCTATTTGCTAATGTTGTGATGATTTGTGATTTTCGGATGGATATTTGTGTTTATTTAAAACAGAATTTACCAGAAATTTATCAAAATCGTTCTAATTGTCTTTTTTGTACTTTTAATTGCTACTATTAATTGCCATCGCTAGTTTTGCTATTTCTTAAGGCTATTATATGCTGAATTGGTGAAGGCTACTGCATTGCATGATATTTCAATTTAATCAATCAACAACCGTATTCATTTCCTAAGGGCGATTAAATTTTATTTGTAATAGCCAGCGTCGAAATGTCGTTTCGTTTTGTATATTATTATATTTCATCAATAAAAAATATTTCAATTGATTTATTAGAATTTTTAAAAGATTTTCGAAAATGTTCATTTCATTTTATTAGCATTTAGAAAAGGAGGCTGCTAGAAAGATTTTGAATTTCTGTTAAATTCTGTTTTAAATAAGCATAATTGTCCATCCGAGAATCACAAATCGCCATAGCGCTTACAATGTAGAACGAATAAAGAATCCATGGATAATTTTCATTTGGCTAAAAATTTTAGCTTCCAAATTTTTCACTTTTCCAAATATTTTGCAGCCTTTTCTTATAGTATTTGCAACCGAGTTGATTGCATCTTTTATTTCGGTATGTGTGCCATGTAAGTGTACAATTTGAGGAAATTTATTTGTTATATTTATTGAAATATTTTGCTTCTACTAATTAAATCAGTAAATTTATCTGGAAAATTTTTTATAAAACTATAAATCTATAAATTTTGGCTTTTCCAGGACTACCACTTGATTTTTTGTGCACAGTTCACTAAAAAATTCTCTCCGTCTCGCTTGATTCTGCAAATTCTTCGCTCTCGACTTGTCCATAACTTTTTATACCTTTTTTTCGCTCGCAAAATTAAAGAAAAAAATTAAAGAAAAAAAGGAAAAAGAAAGGTAATTTTGCGCTTTTAAAGTTTCTTTCTTAATAAATTTACTCTTGAAACGATATTCTTCAATTTAAAGTTGGCTGTAAATCTCGCTTTTGTATTTGCCTTGGTACTTGCTGGCGTCAGTGGGAGAGGGGCTTTGTTTAAGTTTTTTTGTTTTTTTATTAGCATTTTTATTTCAATTAACGATTATAAATTATTTATTTGTGTCATTTATAATAGATTTTGTTTTTAATAAAATTTGTAACAATTATTATATTACTTACAGTTTGTTTTGATTAATTGATAGTTTTATTGAATTCTTTTAGTGAATTTTGTGGAAATGCAATTTGTTTATTTTACATCATACTGTTTAAACAAATAAATATAAAGTAAATAATAAATAATTTATGATTAATAAACAACAATAACAGTAAAGAATACACAAATAAGTACCATTTTTTCTTTTCATCACTTTTATAATCTTTTTTCCGATTATTTTTGAAATTTCAGTACAAAAGAATTGAAAGAAAAGCATTAAGTTTTATAAAGATGCTATATGTTTTTTCTCGCTAAAATATCGGTTAATATTCGCGTCGTCGCTATTT